ACCCTCGCCGAAAATGTATTCCTGAATATGGTCTTGAGCTGAGAGTTTGCGTTTATAACGACCAAGCTGCATGTGAAGTTGAATTAATTATTAAATTATGCTTAGATTAGAGTAGTAAATTAACTAATATAGCTAAATGATAAAATGACGGCCTACACTGAAATCACTCTTTGATTGCTGACTTTTCCTCATGCCTGTATATATTTAGAGGAATCTATCTTAATGTGAAACTAACTTACCTTGTACCCGAGCTTTGAACGCATGCATTTTTTCATCGATATGCAACGAAATCAAACTTTTCGAGTGCACTACAGGGGCTTGCGTACAGAATATAAATATAAATAAATAATTAAATAAATAAATATATATATATATATATATATATGTACACGTATATCGTGTAATACACATACTGTATTCTGACGCCGAGGTAACCAGCACGAAAGATTTGACTCCATTCTAAAGCCGGAGAAGCAGAAGAGGGGTTTTAGTCAAGATTACAATCTGTGCAAGATGACAAATAAGACGTGGAAATACCGACGGAATCATTTCGGCTGTAATAAGGCCGCGAGTTTGGGATGCGGCTCAAAGTTCGATTGCTGAGCTTACTTCCATTTCGAGTTAAAGCGTTGGGTGAAGAGATTCGAAGGTCGGCTCCACCAGAAGACGATGACAGATTCCTTTTGACCAGCTGTCGATTGGCTTTACTAAAAGATTCATGCTGATGATGTTCCTGAGGTAATCTTCTTCGATTCCGGTGAAAAGGTGCTAATCTTTCGTCCGTCATATGACTCGTTAGCTTGAATTTTGTTGTGACGATGATACCTTGCTCGGATAATGTTCGTCAGCTGTTCAGAAACAGCAGCAGCATGAATCTTCCAGTAAAGCCAATCGACAGCTGGTCAAAAGGAATCCGCCGTCTTCTTCTGATAGAACCGACCTTCGAATCTTTTCACCCAACACTTTCACTCGAAATAGAAGTAAACTCAACAATTATGAAACAAAAGATTCCTCGAAACCCAACTTTTCTTCGAAGTTTGATGTACTTCTCCAGCTTCGCTCCGATGACTGGCCACCTTTAAGACGTATCGTTGGTAGCGTAGACGGCATCGTCAATGGGAAGCAGCAACACTGAGCTGAAACTTGTTAAAGATGCTGGAAATAGTCATGAATAATCTACCAGAGGGGGCAGACATTAGTATACTTACGTTTAGAGTGAAAGTGTTTGGGCAAGAGGTTTAAAGGTCAATCCAACCAGAAGACGATGGTGAATGACTTTACTGGAAACAGCGTCAACATGAATGTTGCAGTAGAGCCAATCGACAGATGATCAAGAGAAATCCGCCGTCGCCTTCTGGTGGGATAGACCTTCAAATCTCTTCACCAAACACCTCCACTCGAAAGTAAAGTAAGCTCAACAATCATGAAACAAGAGATTCCTCGAAATCCAGCTTTTCTTCGCGAGTATATTCTTCTGAGTCTCACAGACATCTTGGCCAAGTTGAGATAATCATGTCACGCCATTCTGCACAGCAGAAGGAGGCTGTTATCGAAATAAAGGCTTTAGTGTCTTGTTCTTTGTTTGAATGATCACTCTCTGGTTTACCAAATTCTTCATATTAATTGCGCCTTGTGGGATGACCAAAGAATCTATGCCTACTAAATCTGAGGCGGCCGAGTAAGGCCAAATGATGCTTGGGAAAGTAAGGGAACATCCATGACAGGCGCGTACAATGCAGAGATAAATGGGCTCGAGAAATTAACAAATCGGTGCCTCATACGAAAGTGAGGAATAAGACTTTGTCTGGACTACTCTATCCCAGGTATATATGTACATATAATTTCTACATTAATATGTTACTAAATTATTGAAAAATAGCTTATGTCATCTAAAAGGTGGAGATAGAAAAGGGCAAATGGTGTCCTCAATCTTTGGAGTTTCGCATGCTTACACATGCAAAGGACTCGCAAGAGAAAGATTAAGGAATTGTACAGAAGTTGTTTGACCTTGTTTTCACAACTTGGTCATAATGGCAGGAAGACTTGGAGGAACGCACCTTGTCCGGAATGTATTGTATGAATGATAATGTCCAGAGTCGGACCGTGCACGTGGTACATCCCCAGACGTTTCGCCGCATCGTCAGTTGGTCTTGCCATTCTTAGCACCACACGACAACTCGTTAAAGAGACAAGTGAAGCCGATCCCTTGGCCAAATGTGTGCTAGGCAATCGTGTTATCTCCCCTTCCCCCCTGGGCTAATCACGCCTTCACTAACAAAATGTTTTTTAATACTTGCTTATTAAAATGTGCTATTGTTTGTCTTTCTGAGCGGCTTTCGTGAGAACCCTCCACACTCCACGCTGTCGTTCTCGCCCCCTTCACCCTTGTGCTGGGAATGTTGATCAGAGTCGGCCATATTGTTGCACATTCCTCCTTCCTTAAGTCCTATCAGAGTCTCCCTCTTGCCCAGTATGACTACAACCACACAAAATGCCACACCATCTTGGTCTTCATATCTTCAAATAAAGAAGTGTGTTATGCAGAATGTAACGTCTGTCAAAATAGCAGATTTAGAATGTAAATGATTTTTTCCAAAATCCCTTTATGAAATGTTGCATTTGAAAAGGAGCGTGTAAAAGAGTATAAATTTGGCTTCACCAGACACCAAAGAAGGATTGTCGTAAACTTACGACTGCTCGATTGTGTGAAAGAGACCCCGGTTCACCGTCATGCGAGGCCTAGTAATCCGAGCTAAGCTTTCGCCCATTGTTTATAAAAAAACGTTAAGAGCTAGAAACTATCAGCAAAAGAATTCACCACAAACCTTTATTGGTTTATTTAAATTGGAACCTGCTTTTCAAAATACTTATATATATATATAATGTATATATAAATATGATGCATAGAATACTCTAAATATACCAATCCTTAGCAATAGCTTGCGTAAGCGCCAGAAACTGTGGGGCTAATTTTAAACGTTTTTTTGCATCTCCGTCTCTTGAATTAAGCGAGCCATTTGCTTGTAGTTTAATACAATTAGTACTTTTTTAATGTCATTTCAGTCACTCCAGGTCGCTCGGAGCTATTTAAGTACATATACTCGAATCCTTTCACGTTAATATGACTAGGTCTCCCGATGTCATTGGATTTCACCTTTATTTGCGTCCAAAAACGTTTTATTATCCAGAATAGATTGCAGTTTTGACCTTTACCCGGTCTCATCAGAGGCCCGAATATGATTCAAAACTGGATCGTGCGCCTCTTGGCTACAGGTTATCTTTTTGCTACCCTGTCATGTGTGCTAGTTTGTCGTCCATTGACAGACATGACAAATCAGGCCTCTCACGTTTCTCAACCATAGTGGGATTGTCGGGGAGACAAACATGTTTTTCCTGTGAAAATAAGCGGCGTCACATATTTTCCATCTCAGTAAGTAGTAAAGTGGAACTTGCTTTCGCATGATACCTCCACCGTAACTAAGTAATATTGTAGATTGTAATTACAAATGCAAGTATGTTTCATCTACAATTCCATCAGAAAAATGTGATTTTAAATTGTTCTAACTTGTCCTCAAGATCCATTCTGCAATTGGTCGTCACTTGATGAGCGTTACTCGCGTTCGAACCCCTCCGGAGGTGTTGATAAGAGTCAGGCGACGTAGTAAAACTGCAGTTCATCCTGGAAAATGCCATCTGGTATGCAATGGAATCATGAGGCCTACTGATTTCACTTTGGGAAATTCAGCTAGCAATAGTCTGGGTGAAATAAGTAATGTCAGAAAACTTTTCATTTCATCTGACCGAAATATAAACATTTCCTCCTCGAGTTCACACTTTGATAAAAGGTACAACTACATTTCGGCACCTTTCACCCTTACTAGCTCATCCCAGCTAAACAGTCACGTGAAGCAGCTTGAAGCTTCTATCCGTCTTCTCGCGGAACATCTGGTCGACATCGCTCTCGAGCAGTGCCTCTGCTGCGACAGCATTCCATTGGCAGCACTCTGCATCACCAGGCAACCGAATCAGGTTGTCTTGTCTTCCACCGCCGTCACTACTGCAGACGAACTGTTAGCCTGGCAACAGAGAGTGCTACAACTGTGGTCAAGCCTGGTAACCAGCTGTCCAGCAGGCCTATCTCGACAGGTTCAGCTACAGGTTGTCAGCCAATCTCTCGCCTGTTTCACTCAGAGGTACGCTGCTCGTCTCGAGGTGGAAACCAGGCCAGAACAACTGCATTCGATCGGGTTAGTAGGACGATTGATATCTAAAATTTAGTTCCGCCTTTCAGAGTAATCACGATTCTTGGTTTTAGCTATTTTTTACTCTGATTTTATTTATTTATATAAAGGCTCAGGCTTAATGTATCTCATATTACATTCACGCCACCGGACTATCATTTTGAAGTAGATTTTATTTGGAACAGATTCGCACATCAGGTTCAACGTAACCCGAAAGAAGATTTCCCAGGTATATATATATATATATATATATATATATATATATATATATATATATATATATATA